TTTTATTAACGATAAGAAACGTTCCCTTGATTATTATTATAAATTTTGCATATTTGGACTTATTTTACGTTATCGGAAATGTATGATTTGCTTGGAGTACATTTTTAGTGCATTTTATTAATTTTTAATCACGGTGGCCCCGGCACCCTATTCGCCTCTGGCTGCCGCGTTCTGGCTGCTAACTCTCGCTGCCAGTTTCACTTTTATCTTTAGTTTATGTCTAAGGGATTTTTTAAATACGCATAGAAAATTAAATATTATCAAATTAATGTAGTAATTAAATTAGTAACATTTATAAGGCATTCGTTTGCATTTATATATAATTTTAGAATCTTTATTTATACATATTTTATTACAGAAAAATGTAAATGAGAAATGCATACTTTGTAATCTATTTAAATATAAATGTATATTTGTGCATATACACATTCATATAATTTTAATTGTAAATAAAATATTTTATTCCATTTTACATAAAAATTTTGATCCTATCATAACTAATATTAATTAAATAAATTTTATTAATATAATTAATGCTATTTAATGTACAATAAATGCATTTTCAGCATCACTTAAATTAAGTAATTGTAGAATTATGTACGTACATATTTTTTATATAATATCTGTTTATTTTTAATAACAGTTCTATTCTATTAAAACCGGTCAATCAACATTCATATACAACCTTTTTATATTTTTATTTGAATCTTATCGTAATTTCTTCGTTAACGTCAATTCTACTATATTTGTCGTGTCATATATGTGTATCATGTATCAATATTTTTCACAGCATTTGTAAAACACATTTGCAAGATAAGATATGATATTATGAGATTATGTTATATACAATGCAAACTTAAACAGTTTTGATGAATTTTATGTTAGTAAAAAATAAAATGTCAGGAGAAGCAGTGAATCGGTTAATTAAAAGTAAATAACGCGAGACTCCCTTTAATTTAACGAAGCGACTTACATATTTACTCAATTCTTTTTTGCAATACATGTTATATTAATAAAGTATAATCAGTCTGGCTTTGACCAGAGGTCATTTATTCATTACTTAAAATTTGGAATATTTGCTCATGTATATTACATGTTCAAGAGTTGTACAAAGAATAAGCTAGACAACTTTCATAATGAACACATATAAAATACTTGAGCAAATATTCCAAATTTTAAGTAACGAACAAATTTGGAAATACGAAATGGAATGTAAGAACTAAACAACTAAAATTATTACGAGTACTACACATTATTAGTAAAAGAAATAAAATTTTGAGAACTGACAACACGTAAACTTATGTACACAAGTATGTACGACATTAAATTATGGAGATATTTTACAAATTTCTTCGCTACAGTGTTATTAGTTTTCAGATCCCTTGAATGTAGATAACATTTTCACACATGCGCCGCGTGAACTGAATCTGATCCAATAATATGCTTAATATCGTTCTTATTTGTACATCGCACGCCATTAAGTTCATCCACAATATCTTCGCGTAACCGTCCTTTAGTCTCTGGTAGTAATATGAAGCAGAACAGAAAATTGCATACACAGAAAGTAGCGAGGAGAAAGAAGCAACCATGCAAACCTAACAAAGCAATAAGGTCGGTGAAACTTTTCGTCATGATGAATGCAGATGCCCAACTTACAGAGATACTTATGGCCGAGGCCAGGCTGGTTACGTCACGGCTGAATATCTCAGACATCACCACGACGGGTCCGTTTCCCATTCCCAAAGAAAATAATATCATGTAGGCAGACAATGCTACCACCGGTATCCAAGAATAAGCGGACACTTCATATTGCAAGTTCTGAAGATAATAAAATGCACCTATCGTACAATGACACACGCACATTCCCACACATGATAGAAGAATCAAGGGCCGTCTGCCAGCACGCTCCACTAATAATGTCGCTAACCACGCTCCAAAGAGCTGTATAGCCGCTACAATGATAGATGACATATTCGGTGATAACGAACTGCCGGACATTTTGAAAATCATTTCCGTGTTACTGACCTAGATGGAAAAATCGAAAATTCAGTTCAGTCATTTTGCAAAAATAAAGTTTTAAAAAAAATGAAATAGAAGTCTCGTAGAAGTTTTGTCAATATGTTGGATGTACTGTTCAACTTATACATTTTAGAAAGAAAGCGAACTTGAAGGATTTGTAAGCATTAATAGTGTTGCATTAAATGCCTGAGTTCATGAGCTATCTATCACTGATAATTACCATCGCAAAAATGCCACAAAGTTGTTGACCGATGAACAGGCCCACGACAATTATGAGCCCTTTAATTGTTGCTTTGTCTCTAACCAAATCTGAAAACTTGGCAGACTTTACGGTTGCGGTCTCCTTGATTTGCAACTGTATATGCGACAACGTACGTTCTGCTTCCAGACTGTTTCCAGCTTTCAACCACTTCAAGGCTCTGGAACAATAAATTGCAACGTATCTTCGCTTTTAAGGAGAATATTTGTTTGTTTCAATTTTTTTTTTTTACCTAATCGCCTCGTGCGTACGATTTCGACGCACCAGGTATAACGGCGACTCCGGCATGAAAACGAAAGTGATGAGATACAAAAGAATTAACGCTATGACAACCACGGGCAAGGTACGAAAGGACATTACGCCACCTAAGATGTAAGCCACTAGTATCCCGGCATTCACGGAAAGTATCAGGATACTTGCCAACATGCCACGGATACTGTCGCACGAAATTTCTGACACGTAGTTTGGTATGACGAAGAACGTGACAGCGCCACTGATGCCACTCAGAGCCCTTGACACATAGATGTATATGTGCTCGGTAGCAAACGTGATCAACAGCCAGGCAATAATTATTGGCATCACTAATATGTAGCCCAATCTCTTCCGACTAAACTTGTCTGGTATCACCGACGTTAGCATAGCCGTGATAGTACCACTTAAGCACAAAGTGCCAGTCAACCAGGATATGCCGTCATCTGTCATGGGGTCTCCCACGGGCGACGAAAGACTTTGTAACAGTTGCGCTGACGGTGACGGCCATCCTATCACGATTCCGTAAGATAACGCCAACTGATTTACTGCAAGTACATATCACGGAATAAATAAGACTTTCGACGATTCAATAAAAACTAATCGTAATAGACATATTTTTTCCTAATGTATTCTTTAATACATTATAATCTGTATTAAATGTTATTTTGTAAGTATCATTGATATAATGCCGATAAGAAGAATTTAATTCTTAGAGTAATTTAATTTCTTAGAATAATCACACTTGCATCACTGTCTAAATATCAATTGCTTAAAAATATTGATCTTTTTTATTTTCATATGTTCTGTTTATAATTCTTCTATTTTTAAGGGCTATCATATCCATCAATGGAGAACTATTACTAAAGGAAGTTCCTCTCCTTCGATTGAAGTCATCGCATGCGTCGTATATCTCTTCTGCTCCTTGAGGAAGAGTCGAGAAAAGAAGTTCTTTCTTCTTTCCAACTTACTGATTATCGTGGCAAGGAACTGTCGCAACTTCCCTGACTCCTTCAATGGATTTTCGCACTTCTCCATTGCACGTTTTTTCAAACAAGAATGCCCGCACTAATAATTCCGTAATTATTTGTCGGCTTTGAGCCAAGGGTCGACTAGGAATAAATTTGTGGAGTACCAATGCATTAGTATAAACAGAATGCTTGTTTTACACTCGACGAGCGTAATTCAATATGCTGTATATGAACTGTAATTCGGTTTATAACGATCACTATTTACGAATAAATTCTTGTCAAGAAGGGGTATTCTTATCTAGATGTCATTCGTTAATGAAAACATGAAAACGTGAATAATAGGCACATATGGTATTCTGTATACACAGCAAATATTCTGCTTATCGGATCCATCGTCGACTTAAAGAAGAGCATTAAACTCTGATAGATGTAATCGATGTAACATGGAATCTCAGTCTGATAAATATTAAAGGCCCCCATTTATGTCAAAGATACGTGTCTAAATACATTTTAATAAATGTTCGCTTCTTATGCTATAACGTAGAACCATTTTATCATTTTATTGTTGGAATACGATCTTAACCTTAAATAAGATCTTATATTAATTAAATTCAAATAAAACTTTATATTAGTCTATTGGATTATGAACAGTCCGATCTTATACTTAAATTTGATCTTAGATAATATTAAAATTTATGCAGTCTCAATGAAACAACTATAGTTTCTTGAGATCGTATTTTAGGTTTAAAAAAATGTATTTCTTTATTTAAATTTTAGATTCTATTTTTTTTTTGGAGATTTGAAAATTTGGAGATATGGGTTTGCGATGCAATATTTAAAATTAGCGGCGTTATGTTTAAAAGTATAGGCTGAAGATGACTGAAACAAAGTTGAGTTGAAACGTTCCAATTTTTAACCCAATTTTTTTTGTATTAATTTGTTATTAAAATTATTACGCATGTTTAAAACCAGCATTAACTCCTATAGCCTTCATATTTATATTTATTATTTGTCTATCATACAATAGAATAGAATATATGATTCTATTTTACCCATAATATCTATTATCTATGCATAATTTATATGGGCCATGTGGCTAAGATAGATAGACATTGACATCGAATCGTAATTAAAATTCTTTTTTAAAGATATCAAGAGATACCATTGTTGATTCATTATATATACTTAACGGGTATCATGACGTAAATTTTATTCTTTTACACAAAGAATTCGCTGGAGAAGAAACCTTTATCTTGTGTCTCTTATTATATAAATCATTGTGCAAGTGAGAATGTAGCGCCATGATTTACTGCCGTAGCATCTCGCTGAGGAAGACTTAATTTACCGCTGCTATCCAACACTGTGATTAATTGATAAAATTACAACTAGAATTGATAAAATTACGACAGCAAGCTAATTTTGATACGGAACTGTGTGTCTATGTTTGCGTTTGTTGCTTGATAACACATGCGATGACTTTTAACGTCAAGCGGCGACGTAGGTCGACTGAGGGTGCATTCCACTAACGTTTGGACTGCCGCGAGCATCATTTCATCCTTGTTTAATATTTGAAAACGATAAGTATGAAATGATGCTCGCGAGCGTTACGAACGTTAAGTGAAACGCGCCCTGATTGTAAGTATTTGAGGTCTCCTCGTAATCTCTTCCATTCGGGAACGTTTTTCCTAAAGATTCTTTTTTTTATTCAAGATCCGCCGAGACATGTTTCAATTCAGATTCTACGCGTCGATACATCGCGTACGATACGTGTCAGAGCCAATCGTAAGAATTGCTCAGCTAGATGTTTGAAACGAAATTCCTGAGTCATTGTTGCTAAACGCAATTGAAGTCATGTCGGTTACATCCAACGAAAGTATGTTTAAATTCCGTTCTTCAATTTCATTTTAAACATCTGATTGACCATTATAGTTTTATTATATGTGTAAAATCGTCCTCTAGGTGAGCGGTTTACCCCCAAAAAGTCGCTTCGAAAGTGCACTAACCGACTAATCAACGTTCTAATGACTGAAAATTTAATTCGGTTCCTCATATTATTCTGCGGAAAAACATCTATATATACACTTTATTTTTTATGTGGTTATTGAATAGTTATAAATAATTGTTTATTTAAAAAATCTAAACTTGGAATACAAATTTCGAAAAAATTCTGTAAAATTAAATTATTTTAAGCATTAAAAAATCCAGTTATAGACCTTTAATTTCTAGTCTTGATTGTGTTCTCACATATGCGGTCTAAAATAAACGTTTCTTAATATTATCTGTAAGGTTAATAATTGGATCAAAATGGACATTTTTTTGTCTCTGAGACATTTTTGTTTAAATCAATAATTTTTGAGATAAAAAATGTCTAAACTTGAAAAATGACAACTTTTATAATTTTTTTTCTCCGAAATTAGTCATCTAATCAGTATGAATAAAAAACGAAAATATTCGGCCAATCTTAAACTATAACAAGAACTTTATTTTATTTTGATCTGTATTGTTGTTGACAGTAAAAACTTTATAAAAATGAAGGGGCGTCCGCGACGCCTTATATAATAATTAATAAAGTTTTCACTATCAATAACAGTATAATCAAATACAGATTAAAATAAAATAAAATTCTTGTTATAGTTTAAGATTGGCCGAATATTTTCGATTTTTATTCATACTGATTGGATGACTAGTTTTTGAGAAAAAAAATCATAGTAAATCACACGTAAATCATTCATTCAAGTTTATAAATTTTTTGTCTCAAAAACTATTGATATAAACAAAAAAGTCTTAGAGACAAAAAATATCCTTATTAATCAGATAAAAACTTGACGTCACTTAAAATCAGACTGGGGGCGAAATCTTAAATATAAAATTTTATATATATATTTATATTTTTTTGTGTGAACTTATGTCTCACGTTGATATATATTTATAGTTACAAAAATCTTCATTTCGGAGTTCAACGCGTTCTAGAACGGTTCGCAAATTTAAATCCGCGCTCCAATCTCGCGGGCGAGAGGCAAATCGATAGCCACCGCATCAGCTGTTTAGTTCCCTCCTTTCCCCCCTGCTTCCCTCACCCACGATTCTCCCTTAAGGTCGCCACTTGTGTCATCACGGCCATATTAGGCACGAGAGGAGGAATGAGGACGGATGAGGACGTTTCGCGATAAATGAGGCTGCCCTGAAACTTTCAAGGTACGTTTTTTTTATCCGCCACTTTTTTCAAACATCTTTCGTTTATCGTTTATTGTCGCCAGAAGTTAAGCGATCTGAATAAAATTGATCGTCGACGAACGTCGTCATGCGTCGTCTCTGTTGTCATTCATGATCATCTGTGTATTGTTTTATGATGTAAGGCAGAAGGCTTTCTCGGCTGCGTTACGAGGCTCTTCCCGGTGGATTTCAAGGGACAGCCTGCGAAGCATGGCATGGCACTGCAATGGCACTACGAACCAAGAGATGGTGACGAAGCTGAAAGGTAAATGACCCCTGCGATTGTCGCAGGATCAATGCATAGGAAGGACAGACTTAATTATCGCAATTAATAGCACCGAAATCTACTATTCGTTAGAGTTACAATTGTTCGCTTTGTACGGCAATTAGGGACAGATTATTCGCAGATGCTGGTATACTGGCAACGGACAGAGCAGAAGCCGCTATGCTCGCTGTTGACAGAGCCAAATACTGCCACGAACCGGATCCTTATCTTGACCGTCCCAGAAGAATTGGTTACAACGTGACCATCAGTGCACCACATATGGTAAATGTATATTTTACCTGTTTTATGTCTTATAAAGCTGATATTTGTATGAATAAGTTTATATGGCTCATTTTGCTTACATAAAATATGATATAAATAGAAAAAGTATATAGATGTTTAATATGTGTGAAACATTAACTCTATTTTGAGTCATCTTCAACAAAACAATCCATCCATTAACGCAATAAGATGAGATATTGCATCGCAAAATAATATCTCCACAATTCCTGCATGCGCTACGTGGCTAATCATAAAGTGAGACCCATACTCAATCAGTTACAAAACTGAGTAGTAATGAGCAACTCAAGCTAAAATTAAAATTCATTATTAATATACTGTAAATGGGTTACTCACATAATGATCAGCTTACCTCGCATGTCTACCACACACATTCAATACAAAGTGCATCTTACAAATTTTGAAAACAAAAAATTATATCTAAAATCGTCATATTGAAATTTGGATATAATAATATAAAGAAGAACAAAGTGTGTCTTGGCAGTTATAAGTTCGGTCAAATAATAAAAGTCTATACTAAAACATTGCGGATAAGAAATATATTTCACAACTGTTTAAACATTCTAGCAAACGAAGTAAGATAACATTATTGTTATAACTTCACATTCAGCAATATAAATTTAATAAAACGCATGTTGTACGTAACAGTTTCATTGTTTAAAAAGTATAAAATTATAACATTGATGTTATGTTACTTTTAGTTGGCATTTACTGGAATGTTTACAAAAATATATAATTAATAATTTAAACGGCATAAACTATTAATATAATTCTTACGTAGTTTCAAACTAAACATAAAACTTGGAGCAAATTTGTTGTGAAGCTGCTTGGCCTTGACTCCTTTCTAATTTGTTACGTAAAGTTAATCACACACTTAAATATTATAAATAAGTATCTATATAGAAAGATGTTAATAGGATTTTATTTATTTATCATTTACCAGGAATATGATTTGAAATGGGGTTATCAGAGTATAATCTTTTATTTTATTTTTGTTATTCGTGTTAAACATATATTTGATGACGGCAGACTTTTCAAACAAAGATATTAACACATCGCACAGAAAATTATCATCGAAGATGATATACATTTCTTAAGTCTCTATTTGGTGATGGTTTGATAAACTACGTCCATATTTCTTGCAGCATGCGTACGCATTGTCTACCCTCTCTGATCAACTCTTCGACGGCGCCAAGGCACTTGACGTCGGCTCAGGCTCGGGCTATCTATCTGCCTGCATGGCGTTCATGGTAGGCTCAGGCGGACGTGTAATAGGCATCGAGCATATTCCCGAGCTCATAGAGATCTCCACTAGGAACGTTCGCGAGGATAATCCGCACTTCCTCAAGGAGGACCGCATCAAATTTGTGGGTAAGCTGTCGGTATTCCGTTAACGTTACAGTCCTTTCTGTTATTGTCCCCAGTAGTCCTTTCACTCAGACAGTCGAAGCTCCTTCTCTCGTCAATGTTATGCCTTTCCTTTACGTCTGATTATCATGAATTTTCGTGCAAAGCTCATTGCACGATGAGAGAAAACGTTCAAGAAATATTACATGTATGCATAGTCCGAATAAAAGAAACCCGTGATCTATCCACGTGGAGTAGGTATGTACGTTGCCGTGAAGAGTCGAACGGAACACTGTCCACCAACTGTGTGGCTTTGCTGTAAAGGTAAAACATAAAGACTGCCGACTAACGACAGGTCATTATGAATGCGCCTAGTGGGAGACGGCAGATTGGGACAACCTGCTGACGGCCCTTACAACGCTATACACGTTGGAGCAGCGGCCGAAACTTTACCGGAGACGGTGAGCATGAGCGATAATGGATCGCCAGTATGCTGTCTAAGAAAAAAAAGAATAGATGCAAGTTGCGTTCCATTATTCACTACAAGTACTGTACACGAGTACGTTAGTCTAAGTTCCTTGCTTTAAAAGGCTGTAAATTATAAAATAATAAATTGACCAGTCACAGTCGAATATGAAAAAAATAATCAACTATGATTGGTCAATTCCTTACGGTTTACGGCCTCTTAAAGCAAGGTTATGGCCTAGACTTAACCGGTACAGTGTACAGTGAGATTTTAAAGTGTAACACCTATATTCTACAATAGCCGTAAACATAATTGTAAGTGATTGTGGTTGTAAGAATTGACTATTCACAGTCAAATATTCTTTTCATATTCGACTTGATATCTTTGTGAATCTGGTATTCGACTTTTTATAAATTAAATTTTTTATTAAAAAATGATAGTATTTTGTTTGCAATTCCATATATTAAAACATACATAATTTTCAAAAAATTACTGTTATCCGACTTTAAGGTAAAAAGATTGTTAATATATTTTGATTCAGAATCGTGTTTTAGTTGTTTGTAGTGATTTTTCGGTCGTTTGTAGTCGATTCGTTTAAAAATTACAAGAAATTTACGATAAATAAATACGTAACTTTGTCAATTTTTGAGATACCTCAAATCCATTTGCGGTATCTTCCTTAGAATCGTTTGTAATTGTGTATAGTGATTTTCCGGTCTTCAATTATTCTTGAGCCCCCTGAGATTCTATTAATAGTCACGAAAATTTGCCCAGGACCGACAGTCTTTAATAGTATCTCGTTGCTGCCAATACTAATTCAGAAACCTGGTTTTAGTCACATTTTCTGAAAGCCTAGTTCGGTCTCCTGGTCTCTATTCTTCATGTGTATATAATGCATAAAGCAAAAAAAATTAACCAATCAAAGTTTTTTATTTCATGGAAAGAAAAGAAATGAAAGATTTTGATTTATTTTTTATGCACTGTATGCTCCCTTACGCATAAAAAATTTTATTGTTAAATTTAACAATAGTTATTAGAGGTGGCTCAATAACATAAAACATAAGTGGGAAGGAGCATACAGCCACACACACAAGAAGTTTTTTGCCAAAGTCATATATTTAAAATAAAAAATGTACACGTTTTGTCCAAGGTTTGGCCATCATCAGTACAATAAACGAATGCAAGATGTTAAATAATAGAACGTCAACGAAGATGTCGAAGTGAAATTGATATCCGGAAATTATTCTGATTCCTCGATCTTTTTGGCATATAAGATTAAATCTTATTTCTTGATCGCTGCATGTTAAATTTTATTGTAGACGCCATACATTATAGGTTTTCAGTACTCGCAATAAATAATGGAACGTAGCTATAGAATGTGATACACGTGTAAACGATGTAATTTTTGTAGCTGATTGACCAACTGGCTCCTGGAGGTCGACTGATCTGCCCAGTCGTGGCCATAAAAGGTTTCCAAAGGTTACAAGACCTGCTGCAGGTGGACAAGAGCACAGACGGCGCGATCACAAAGAAGAAGCTGATGCAAGTCTCTTATGTTCCTCTCACGGATCCCACCACTCAATTACGTAATTAGAGTTACTAAGGTGAGGTGCTACGGCGGAAATAAACGCAAAATTTCCGGGCAGATAATTAAACGATCGCGTATATACAAACCCAGATTAGCAATAATCAAAATTTTTGTATCCACAAATTTTTTCACGCATGCGTAGATATGGAGTGCACGTCGTCTTCAATTGGGGATATCAATAAACTATATATATTTTGTACCTGCCTTGGTTAATTCCTTCGCATTTCTTCCACTAAATTAACATATTACAGTCGCAACTATGATTGTTTTCCTCTTAGGAGACTAATGTCGATTTATCTTTCTTGACATTCAATAAATAACAAAGATCGAATATATCGACTGTGTTACCTAAAAGGAAAGCAGCTCATATATGGGGCATTCCGTGCCAAGCCAGCTACCCATTTTGCGAAGTTTCATGGATTTCGTTCATATTGCTTGAGCTTGAACAGTTTGATGAATAAAGACTCTACGCCGAATAATAGACCCGTAGGTTAACTGATTGCTGAACTATAGGGCCGTCAACTTTGGGGTTTTCTCGTCGCAGCGCTCTTTTTACTTGTCGTTAGTGGATATGAAAGACAAGTTTGAAAATTAAATATTGACATTTTTTAATATAAAATTGAACGCTCTTTTACGTGAAAATATTCTTTTTTTTTTTCAATCAGATCGTTTTTGATGATTTTTGTCCGTTTTTAAATTTTCAAAATGGCGGTGCGACTAAAAGACCAGTCTCAATTTTCTTTCAATATAACTCAAAATGTAGCCCCAGATCTCTACTTTGTTACTCTAAAAGGATATAATGGGACACGCATTCGTTTTGATTAATAATAATAAATTTTATGCAAGTGTCCGGCCATAGGCACATATCCAATCACTGGGACGTTTATCTTATGCCAGTAAAAAAACGTACACAAAACGTACACTTTTTGGTCAAGAAGGCAAGAGACAAATAGCAAGAAACAGGAAACAAAAAGCACATTGTAGAACAGCCATAACAATGGGCAAAGAATTGAAAGAATACAGACGATCCTAACGTAGTCAGCCATTTTGATTTTATCAAGAATGTATGAATATGAAAGATACGCGCGCAGAGAAGGACAGATTGCCTCGATATTTTGCCTCTCGCACCGTTCTGCCAAACCCAGTATATATACTATAGATGCTGGATCTTATATGTCCAGGGCTGCGTTCCGCTTCACGCATGATGCGCATGCTGCATTATTTATCCTTGTTATTCACCGAATGTTAAACAAGGATAAATGATGCATCATGCGCATCATGCGTAAAACGGAACGCAGCTTATGTGTCATATGCTTAACTTTTAGTCGCTGCATGAAACACGAGTGACGAACTACGACGTATTTGCCTGATAAGTCCCTGTTAGATCAACATTTTTTAGGGAGGGGAGCCCATCCCTTCCATTTACTGTTTTTAACGAATAATTTTAAATTGAATATTCACCTGGATCTTCGAATTTTCGGTTGAACAACGAAAGATCAAAGAAATATTACAGTATAAAAAACAAAAATTAAGTTTATATTATCATATTAACAAACACCTGTGAATTTTTTAATCGCATACTAAAAAAAATTTACTAAATCTGAGTAAATATTTCTTCGAATAATTTGAAATAAACATTTAATTAGAGTAAGTAAATATTTGCTCAATAAAAGTAAATATATACTTAATCAAATTAATGGTTCTTGTATCAAATAAATATATGTTTACATTTAATAAATATTTACTTAATATAAAATACAAGGAGCATGCAGCCACACGCAGAATGTTTTTTGCGAATGTTATATATCTATTTAAAATTTTTACGTTAACAAAAACAATTTCATAAATGTTTCAGTCCACATCAGGCCATATTCAGTATGCAATATAATTTATCAATAATTCGTAATCATCAGAATAAAGGAGTAAAAATAAACAATAAAAATAGTTCGTTATAGTCTACGCTTGTGTAAGTTGTCAAAAATAATTTACCTCCGTTAATCTTAACGAGAGATTTATTGAAACGTTGTGTGAAACTTTTAATGTGACAAAATTTATACTTATTATTTATACTTATCATGAAAGGAGGGGATTAAAATTATTTTAATTGAGAGGTGAATATTCTTTAATAATAGGCAAATAGATATCCAGTAATAAATTATTTATATTGCATACTAAAGATGGCCTGATGTGGACCGAAACGTTTATGAAGTTGTTTTTATCAAGGTAAAAATTTTAAATAGGTATATGACATTCACAAAAAAACATCTTGTGTGTTCCTTGTATTTTGTATTTGTATGTTCCTTGTATTTTGTATTTGTATTTTGTGAGCTACTTGTAAATTTATAAATATATTTACTTAAATTTAGTTTTTTTTCTGTGTGTCCATTTGTTAACTGATTCAAAAAAACTCTCTATTATAAAAATGAGATAATTCTTTATCACTTTTTAAATTCAATTTTACTTATAGCTGAATATGGCACAGCTTCCCACAAAGAATGACTTCCATCACCCTTTTTCCTCATGACGGTTTTTACGAGTTCTTTCGACGGTTCTTTGAGATCGTACGCCCACCCAATTTTCGCAAAGAAGTTAATAAAAGCTGTGGTTGGGGAACCGTGTAACTCGGCAGCTTTATAGTCCCACGGAAAAACATGATGATAATTGTGCAGTCCTTCACCGCCCGAAAAAAAGTTAACCCATCGGTTCTGTGTCGGATTTATATACCTGCCATTGAAATAAACGAGACAAAATTATTCTTAGGCAATATATAAAATAGCAAAAGCTTCATGTCTTCTGATCAAGTTTATTATGTGTGAATAATATTGATACTAATTTTCTGCTTACGCATCATATGGCTTTGAGCCCCAAATATGAGCCGCACTGTTGACACTCCATACGGCATTTAAAAGTATAACATAACGAATAATATCCTGGGACACGAAAGCTCTATACCAAGTTTCATTCCACGCATACACAGGCAACATCACCGGAAGCAAGAAAGCGAACATAAATGTTAATATCGGAAAATATCTGCAAAATGGCATAAATTAATTACAATATATAATTTTCATGACAGTTTTATATCTTACGTAAAAAAATCTGTGTAAAAAAATTCTAAAATTGAGAAGGTATATCGTCGTAAGCCCAAAAAATATTTGTAAAAATCTTCAACTTTAACGTAAAAGCGCGCTTAGTTTTCCCTACAAAATCGTTTTTTAAAAATGTTTCTAAGATTTTTTTTTTATCGAATTATTACAGATTGAATAAACAAGAATTTTTATTTTGATTGTTCATAATTACGTATAAATCATACTATAATTAAAAAAAATAAATTTTTTTAAACTGAAACTTTGTTCTATCGAATAATATCATTATTAAATTTGTTTTCAAAAACCTCAATTAAGCATGTATGTTTTAAATAGTTTGAAGATGTCTAAAACATATTTGTTATCAATCCTGCTTACAAGTAAGCCTCAGGGAATGTCAAAGGCCGATTTTTCTTAAATTTTTACAGTCGTTTTTTACGTAATATGAACAGTGACAGATTAACATATAGGCAAACAAGACACTTGCCTAGGGTGGCAAATTTTTCAAGACAGAAAATTTTCACACAGTTGAGATAAATTTTTAATTTGTTAATTTAACGTTTTTGTACGAGTTACACTGAGCATATTTTATCAGAAAGATATTTTAAATATAATTTTTAATTGGCTGAAGCAAGCAATTTTTAGTTTCGTTAACCTATCAAAATCCTGTATTAATATTTCGACTAACGCAACAAAAAATTGGCTGCTACAGTCAATTAAAAATGCTATGTCATATTTTACCACATAATTTGCTGCAGCAATCAATATTTTTTTTCAGTGTACATATATTTAATATAGCTAAATTAAAAATTTTGAAGTCAAACAATTTCTGATATGAATCAAAATGTTCGTTGAGCACTTGAAAATAATCAGATACGTGTTTTTTAATCGAAGATTTGTTTCTTTAATCATGTGGAAACATATATAATGTACCACATTGTCTTATCAATACATATAGTGTTAGCAATCTATATCTCACGAATAACACGTTACACATCATGTTTTCTTAAACTTGAACTTAATTTCTTATACGCTTAATTTTCGTCATATAATTTGTAATCCAACGTGTAATTTTAATTAACATCATCAGATTCCTTGCCTCAACAATTATAAAAAATGATGATTTTACTTTTCACGGACACAGCAAAAATTAGCCTTTTCATAATATTCTTTTTTCTTCGAATTTTCTTTTGTCTTTTCCAACATGAAACTATTTCGCATAATTAATTCTTTGCAAAAATTTACTTGATACTGAATGCAGCAACAGGATCAGCCAATATATCGCTCATATCCACCTGACGACCTCTTCGAATCACATCTGGATGTTTCTTCATCATCAACCAACTCACATGGGAGAAAAAGAATCCTCGGTTACTATTATGCGGATCTGCATCCATATCCGTGTACTTGTGGTGCAACCTATGATCTCGTACCCATTCGTAAATATTGTTCTGAAAGGATTTAATTGTAATAAAAAAATTTGTCTATCTTGAATAAAACGAATAAAACGGTAATTATAAATGTCTACCATGCCAGCCGAAGCATAGAGAACACCAAGTATAACTCTAAGCTGCCATTTTGCTTTATAAGCTTGGTGTGTCCACAAACGATGAACACCGGCAGTGACACCTATTCCTCCTAACATATACGTGATGAATACTTGAAACAAAAAACATGGGTATAATTAACATTAAAAATGCTTTAATATTATGCGTAACAATTTAATCCGTATTTCTTATGGGAGAATCATGTAGCATTGATTTTACTGCGACATTTGACAATTAATGATAACTTATAACACAATAGATACTTAAAGACTTAAACTAAGGCAAAATATATAAAGGAGCATAACAGTCAAACGCTAATTCTTGTTGCAAATTTAAACGTTATAACATTCATTTATTACTTATTCAACAATGTAATATAAAGTATAAACGATTCGATCTTTATTAGGTCATCGTCATTACATTCAAAACTGAGTTAGCGCGTTAATTTTCTAATATCAAGGATGACCTAACAAAGGTCAAAACGTTTTATATTACT